TAAATCCGACAGTAAATCAGCCATCTCGGACCATATCAACAACTGTCCTGATCACAACATAAACCTGGGACAACGTCCAAATCCTCTCCAACAACCTCCATGATTTCACTAAAAAAAACCTAACAGAAGCAATCCACATTCGCCGCCACAAGCCATCAATCAACAGAGATCAAGGCTATTTCATCCCATTCGCCTACTATGAACTCATTAAGCAATAATCACTTATCCTGTTTAATTGGCTTCATGTCCCATTGGCTTCCACCTATGTGTTCTCTGTCCATCGTATTGTGACAGTATTATCCCCTTGTTGTCAACACCTTACCTATGTTATCCCACTTATGTATGCAAGTGTTGTTACTGTTAATCCTCTACTGTTAATCCTCCACCTACTATATATATTCTGTACTAAGCCCCTCATTTAGTCTTCCTTGACAACGGTATAAGGATCTATACCGAAACTTCGCTTTTCACAGTATTGAACAAGTTGTTATCCATACAATTGTGTCTACACAGTGTGTTATTATAGAATACACCCGCCATGGTAGTATATTTACATTCACAGGGTGTTGGTATGGAATACATCCGCCATGGTAGTATATATGTACACAAACAGTGCGTTAGTATAGAATACACCCGCCATGGTAGTATATTTACATTCACAGGGTGTTGGTATAGAATACACCCGCCATGGTAGTATATATATACACAAACAGTGCGTTAGTATAGAATACACCCGCCATGGTAGTGTATTTACATTCACAGGGTGTTGGTATAGAATACACCCGCCATGGTAGTATATATGTACACAAACAGTGCGTTAGTATAGAATACACCCGCCATGGTAGTATATATGTACACATACAGGGTGTTAGTATTGAATATACCTGTTATGATAGCATATGTACGCATAGAGGGTGTAAGTATAGATTCTACCATGAATTTGGAATTTACTCGATTCTGATTGGTCAATCAGAGGCTATTAAATCACAATAAACCCCCTCTGATTGAAACGGGTGGTTTGACGGACGCATCACCGCGGAAGCTAATATTCATAGAATAGTACTATTTTCAGTCATTGTCGGTAGGCATATTTAAATAATTATATCTACAATTACAGGTTACAAAATGCACAGATGCGGTTACAACAATATTCAAAGGATGTGTGGCAATACATTTCGTGCAGAAAAACACGACAGAAATCAACGAAGGGAATGTATTTACGTTTTGGAAACAACAGAGAGCTTGGAATTTTAGCGCTTTTCTATATACGATTGTGACGTCATATCTTTTGCGTCACAATGAGCGATATGACGTCATAATGGTGACGCTCGATGTAGAGCGAAAGCCTTGCAAAGCTTGCTTTATTTTCTTTAGGGATGCCCACCTCATGTTAGCTTACCAAGTTACCGTGCTTATATGCTTTCGGTGCCTGTCATATGTTCGAGTGAAGTATTACGGTGTAAACAAACTGCTTGAGTATATACAGCAACATATTTTGTTCGGTGATTCCGTATTTCAGATCGATAACCAACTCAAAACAACCCATGCCGCTTCACTGAGTATATTTGTTAACACCAAAGAGTTCGCATTTTATTTAGTTATGGTAGAATGGAGATAAACATACTGTGTTTTCAATTTAGAGCTACATGTAGGTTACCTGTATATTTAACCGAGCTAAATTTAACATTTGAAACCTCACGCTGGGCGTTCGGTCCCAAATTTAATTTAACGGGGTTAAATCTACAGGTAACCTAGCTCTACATTGAAAACACAGTATGTTAATCTCCTAAATACACCCGCCATAGTAGTATATGTACACATACAGGGTGTTTGTATGGAATATACAAGCCATGGTAGCATAGTATAAGGGTAACGCTATTTTTCAGGGCATTATCATTTGCAGAAGCCCGAGGTCTTCCATTAACTGCCTGACGAAGGAGGGCAGTTGAAAAGACCGGGGGCTTCTGCAAATGATAATGCCCTGAAAAATAGCGTTACCGTTATTATAGCTAAAATGGGTGGAATTGGTTATCGAATAAAAAGAAACAACAATATCGGTTTGGAAACATTTACTACAATCGACACCAATGTCACTGACCAACTTTTACAGATATGGAAACGTTATAGAACAAACCAGATGACGACACTATTGAACTAGACGTCGCCTATCCCTTTCCTATGACGTCAGCTAACAACGGGTGTGATAATTGCCCGTCGTCAAGCAATATGAGGGCATTATCAAGTTACATAGGCCCGTTCATTTTTGATAACGTGCGGGCGGTTTAATGATAATTCTATCCATTTTAGCTATAATATTAGTTATGAGCCGAGCTCAATATTTTCCTGCTAGCCTAATATGACTCCGTATGCGGCAACTTAAGACACCATAACGACTTTATAATGCCGACAAGTTTACACTATTAGGTATCTTTGTCGCACATGTAATGTCAAAAAATAAAACTTGATACTTACAACCGGTATAAACGACAGGAGCAGTACATATGTTTCCGTTACAACGCTTTTAATGTAAACATAAACGTTAACAATGGAATATATAATGCACTAAATGTGAACAATTAAATTACTATAGCTGAAATGGACAGAATTATTATAAAAATGCCCGCATGTTAACAGAAATCTGCGGGCCACTGCAACTTGATAGCACGTTTCTTGTTTTTGACGTCATCCTATAGTATGTTCTATGACGATCCATTTGTAACTCAGTGACCTACTTTGTAGGCTTTTTACTCTTTAATTTTTGTAAATATAGTCACGAACGTTGTTTCTTTAATAAATAATGTCTTTGCTTATCACAATTAATGATATTTAAACACAAAACAGTGTCTAATAACGAATTATGTACCATGTGAAATATGCGAGGTGGGTGTTGGAAAATTCAAAATGGCTGTTACTGACGGTATACGGTCTCATATTAGGTCAGTAACAACCTTCTTGGATTTTTACTGATGGTATACGGGCTCATGTGGGGTCAGTAGTTGGTCAATCTCACTTTGAGGCATAATTAGTACACATACAGGGTGTGGGTATAGAATATACCTGTTATGATGGTACATGTACACACATAGGGTGTCAGTATAGACGTTTTTCAACCTCGAGCATAATGTCGCCCTTTTCACTGCCTACAACGTGAGCACCTAGCCGTGGGGGTCAAATGTTTTGTCGTGACATGGTTCCCCTCAAACACATTTTATATAGTGTTAATAACAGGTGATATCATCACCAAACTACACCAAATAGTTTTGCCATCCCAATACTGATACATTGTTTGTGTTCGTCATGATAAATCCTTCCAATGCATGTATAAGTCATAAAACAAACAAGAAATAGCGACGATGAACACTCTCCATAATCCCTCTCCATAATCCTAAGAAATCTCTGCTTAAAGCAGAGTCGAATATATTGTGAACATAAACACAGTAACGGCATCCGAAACCCTCCATCAACACAAGTGAAATACTGTTAACACCGGCAATAAACTCATTCACTGACCTAAGTCATGCGAACTCCCTTAGGAAATTCCATAAGTATGTTTAAATGTCCCGAGAGCACTTTCGTAAATTGTCGACCACAATAAAGCAAATAGAAAAAAAAGATTTTCTTCACGAAAAGGAACAGACAATAAGAATATACGCTTCATACTTCGTAGCTTTTAGTGCCTCGAACGTCATCGATAACAAATCCTTGTAACATTTGTAACCATTGTCTTTAAAATGTGTATTGGATGATGATAAAACCAACAGTAAATTAAATGAAGTCTGTATACATTATTGCCTCAGGGCGATTTCATGTAGAAATTGGTCAAATGTCCCCATGGCAACGCTTTTACAAACATCGAATCAGTTGTTCATTTCAGTTTTAATCTATATTAAGTGAGCATGTCAAATTGTGCAAGAATGTAGAATAAGCTGAATTAGTACAATTCGATTTTGATACCTTTATTTGATCTTTAACTAAGTTGTAGAGAGTTTTTGAAGCTGTGAATTTCTTCTCTTCGAACAAAGGCTACCCAAACCGACACTGGTGGTAAACTAGGTTTGACAAGCATTTTAAAAATATTGATTTGCGTGTATGTGTCGCTACTGGTAACGATAGGTGCAGTACTTGATTTGAAATTATAGCGAGCATCTACATGAATATAATCCCGTTACTGCTATTGTGTCATTGTTATACTTAATGGAAGAAGTGTTCTTAATGAACATGTACAATTTACTTTTCATTTATGCATGGAAGATCCATTTGCGTATCCAAAACTTCACTTTGAACATTAGGCCACGGGAAGTAAAAGAAATGTTTCTCATTACCGTCCGTGTAATTTGTACAAAGAAATGCGTAAATAAAGCGACAAGGCCCTTTTCCATATCCGATTGAAATCTCTGCCTGAAACCAGAGTCGACAGTACGATTCCGACTATATCATGAACAAGTGTTTATGAAGAACTATCAAATATTGATGAAACCAGGTGTTCAGGAAAAGGTGAGCGTATCCTGCCCCACCGGCTGAACCCGTCACAAACACATGCAAAACATAAAATGTGAGCGGTCTTCTTTTCAGTTATTGTCCTGACCTCTTTGTTACATTAGCGCAAATACAAAGAAAATGTAAAGATCAGTAACATTGGTTACATGAAAGACAATCAGCATTTTCTACAAATTAATAGTGTTTACAATAATTTACATACACATATCCTGTAAATACTTTAAGGCACAAATCTAATATGATGATGTTGATCAGAGAATGTAATTTTATACAAAACACATCAAATTTCTCTCTGCATTGTCTCTAAGCTGCTCAGTGGCCAAAAATGCTTCTTCCCCCTTTCCCTCATGTCAAAAGGTCGCCCCTAAAGTAGTAAAAAATGTCTTGTGACGAATTCTTTTCAGTGATGAAAAACATTTTATTTTTTATGGCCTTACACACCTGCACTATAGAGACTGACGCTGAAGACGTATCTCACATCAAGGACAGAACGCCATGCGCGTTTCCTTTAGAGACAGAAAGATGTCTAGCTCTGTGATGTACTGGTTTATATACACTCTACTTTCCTTCACTTTTATCAGTAGATCCTTCCAGACAGCACCAATCACGAAACGTAAATTTCTTTTTCGACATGCCCATTTCGATGGCAGACTTGTACAGAACTGGAGGGATGTTCGTGCTACATCCAGTGTGTGGGAATGCGCTGATATTTGCGCTGCAGATAGCAACTGTATATCAGTATGCTTTAAGCCGACGTCACAAGAGTGCGTCATCTATGAGAGGATGGTTTCAACCACAGATGCCTTCACCCTATTCCCTTCTGCAACTGTGTTTGGTAAGTCTGCTTTACTTATATGTATATCTACTGTTCACAATTACGAAGGAGTATTTGGCTCGAGTCACATTACAGGGTAAGCAAGTTTGATTAAAGTAATTCAAATCCCAATTTGTCCTCTCGGCTTCTCAACTCTCATGATGTATCTTAAGCTCGCCGTTAACGACAGAAAGGTCAGTCTTATCACATTTATTGCAGCTCATCGACTTATAAGAAGAGACGTGACTTGCCTTTATTATTGGGTTTCCTGTATGGTGCAACTGTTTAACCCATCAGTGTTTGGACTGGCATACCCTTGACTTAGCCAAACAAAGGCGCGTTCGGAGATCGAAAAAACTGGCATATTACACGAAGAATCGAACACTATCATTTATGAAAGCAACGTGATTACTGCAAAGACAATTGACGTTCACTTACGTTCGGCCCTTGTGCAAAGTGATATTCAACGTGATATAGCATAGAGAAAACATTACTCTCTTATCGAGATACTGACATCTCAAGTACAATAATCTAATTTCTGTATTTGTGGATTAGGTAACCTCCTTAATGAAATTATGGATTTAATAATTTACTAATAAGATACAATTTTGTACAATTTCAGCTCTCTGCCCAAGTGGATACAGTGGTATGGGAAGACGATGCATCAAGGTTGTCACTGAGAAGATGGACAGGGACTCTGCCAGAGCACACTGTAGAGATGACGGTGCAGATTTGATTAACCTTGGGAGTCAGGCGAGGATTGATGAATTTCGGTACTTCATGGAGGCGAATGGTAAACAAACAATTAGTGCACAATCGAAAGTTATTTAAATTTTACTTAAGTACATGAGTTTGAATACACTTCTTAGTTGATTATAGAGTTTTATGCCAAATATTGCAATATTAGAGCTACAGCGAATTCCCGATAGCCCTGATCACCGTATTTCTGAAACCCAGTTATCTTGATGTTTAATCTGTAAACATCTCAAAATATGAAGGGATAGTATTGCCTACCAAAGAAAAGTTATTCCGGAAATGAAGTAATCAAAACAATTTTACTTGAAAAAGTATTCTCCGCATCAAACAAGGTTTCAGTGTAAATTAAACGGCCTGACAATTAAATAACCGCGTCTAGATCAAACAAAGCAATAGTTGATAACAAAAGCATCAAGCAATGCCGTCGGGATACTATAATGACACACAATCAACCACTGTCATCTTACCACCCAATCCTCACCATAGTCACCAAGTCTTGTTTTCTAATACAGGGGAAGGTTGGGTATATTACAGTTGTACCAGTTTTCTGGGATCAATAAAAGCTACAAAAATGTTTTCATAATCACAGGAAATCTCTACTAAAAACAGATTCCGACTATATCATACGCAAGTATTTATGAATCCTTTTCCGGTGGCACCCGTCCTAAACACATGCAAGGGCAAGGCAATTGTTCATGTAAAACAAACCATTTATCTTTGGTTTCTACGTTTCACAACCTTTAAGATAGAATCGACCCTGGTCTATCTATTTAAGATTCCAAAGAAATTCACTTATTACACTTGCTTTCAAGTTGTTTGATGAGGGTTAAAACATTCAAGGCCTCAGTACATCTTTCATAACGTTTTATGGCAGACATGTGGAGGATAAACATAAGTGACCAAAATGACGTTCGATACAATTCCGTATTTTGACTTGTGCAATTTGCTGCCCTGTTTTTTCAGGTTAACAATTGACCTAACTTTACATGTTTTTTTTGTAACGGTTGCCATGAACGGGACGGAATACTTTCATTTCTTTTCGCGAGCATCTGGCATCGTCATAGTAATTCATAAAATAATGCTTATAATTATGATCATATGATTATGAATATGGTTTTGAAGCTTTTATCTCGGAGGGAACGTTTGTTTTGAGCAGATGTGTACATGATTTTCGGCAGACTCTTGCTTATTGCGGAGGGGTGTGGGTCTGTTTGTTGAGGGTGTGGGTGAGGGTTTGGGTGTGGGTGTGGGTGTGGGTGTGGGTGAGGGTGTGGGTGTGGGTGAAGGCGAGGGTGTGGGTTTTGGTGAAGTGTGTGTGGGTGTGGTTGTAGGTGTGGGTGTGGGTGTGGGTGTGGGTGTGGGTGTGGGTAAGGTCGTCAGACTCTTGATTGTGAGCGTGGCGTGGTTACATAGCACCTTACCTTGATGGCATTGATAGTTGCTACTGCGTCCAGTCTCTGATTCAGATAGATTATTAACTGGCAGTCGTAATTAAACTGGAATATTTATTGCTACGAATGAAGTGGGTGAATAAATGTTGTTTTAATCCGTGTTCAGCAACATCCCCTGCTTTGGGTGTGTCAAAGCAGCCTGTCAATAGTCAACAATGTACCACAACAAAGTTGAGGTCCATTAAGTTGACACGCAGTGTTACATATATTACCGACTACAAATAAGGGAGCTGATAAAAAGATATCAACTTTAAACACACAGATGTATCTTCAAATGTGTTTTCATCTATGAATGAGTGTTATATCTATCTTAATACCACTTTATAATGTCACAGTATATCGCATTTAAAGAATACAAGGTGCTCAAAGTGAAGCCCTTTTCCCTCTACATTCTCAAAATAGTCTCTATGAAAAATGTTTGGCTTGTGTTGGGTCCGACTTGGCCCGGGCTGTCAAAATCAACTTTAAAAACACAGATGTATCTTCAAATGTGTTTACATCTATAGATTAGTGTTATATCTACCTAAATACCACTTTATTGTGCCTCAGTTCGCGGTATTTAAAGAAAACAAGGTGCTCGTTATGGTAAGATGTTGTGTTCAGATGCAACGCCACGGTATTGTAAATGTACACCCCAAGGCTAGCTACATTCAAATCATTACTTCCCTTGTATTTTTGTTGTTGGTATATGAAGTATTAAAAGGGAAATTGAACCCAACTCACTCTCTTTCCTTAAAACCATACCATACTGTTTTTTCACAGAATTAATGACAAAACAATTACTTAAGAACTCCTACTGACGTTGGTCATTCCAGGAGATGAACCTGACAATAGCGTCTACTGGTGTGGAGCGTCACATGTCAATGGCCGGTGGCAGTGGATCAGTGGAATGACATTCTCATCCAACTCAGATCTCTGGTGCCCCCATGAACCAAGTAATCTCTCTGAGGAGTGCACGGCCACTAAAGCCCCAGAGTTCATCTGCCTGTATGACTTTCACTGTTACACAGACCAAAAGTTTGTGTGCGAGATTCAGTTCTGACTTCTATCACGTTTTGTCGAGAACAACTTACTGATCAAAAGACGCATAAATATGTTACATACATTACATGACAATCAGGAGGTTCTGACTGAAAAGCTTTAGTCTAATACTTTGGCCTTGAGGATAAACTGTGAAATTCTCCGGGTAAACACATGTACCAGACTAATGAAGCATGTTGCCTTATCCGTCAAAGCCGAATGCCGTTAACCTAAAATTTAATCCAGTTAATCGTCCGGATTAAACAATTACTGATTTTTTGAAAATATTCTGTTTACTCTATGCACACAACAGAAAAAATGTACATGGCATAGCGAATACAGTAATTTTGTTGTAACTGTCGTAAAATAAAATGGTGGTAATTTGATGTTCATCTCACTTATTACGTCTAGCTTACATTATTGGGAATAATGGTGTTTTAGTTTTAAGATCAATCAAAGAGTAAATGTAACAGATAATCGAACTTCATGAATAGTTCAAGTTCGAGTTTGCTATATATTTGTCAGTTTATACTCATCATGTCTCGCTCGATGTGGTGTAATTTAGCTATGGTGTTTGACGTACTCAGATTGGAAATTATGCTTTTACTCATAGAGAACTGTGTACCCTTCAATAAAGTGAAACAATACACTGTAGTCATGATACAAGGTATCTTATAAACTTTTCTGTAGTTTTCCTTTACACAGTTCTAATGACCACATCTTCAAACGATGCGTCATGCAATCACATACGCATCATATATTGACAAAATAGTTGGCACGATTTTTGAGCTTGAAACACATATTCGGCCAAGCAGTTTAATAGCATATTTAGTTCTTGATAACATTAATTGCAGTACGACTCGAAATGCGGATGATGAGAACAAACATGAGTAATACATTCATACCAGCTAGTACCAGATTGTGAAATACGTTTTGTGATGCATAATTGTTGAGCATTTATTCGCTGGTGCCATATTTAATGTTTATAAAGTTTGTGATGTTATTTGTATATGTGTTTATCAATAAGCTTAGACCATGTGCTGATGTTACTCAAATTTCCCTTGGGATAATGAAGTATTATCTTATCACTACATGGACACTATACATATTGCTTTCTGTGCAAATAATTAGTAAAACTTTATTATGCACTATGGTATTTCAAGACAACAGCACCATACGTCATCAGAATGCATAAAGACTCGATATGGAAAAAATAATTTCATACTTAAAAGTTAACTCTGGTTCTTTTATGCCGATTTGCTGAATGGATAGTCACGTGATCTGATACTTGGAGTTTACACACCTGTGGAAGGATACAGAACGTACACGATGTCATATATAAATCCGCACTTCAACGTTGACCTCGCCTCAGTGCATCGAGTCATGTTTATATTTTTTTTCACTTTCCTGGTCGTATTCTGTTACCTATTTTTTTAGATTTGATTAATCCCAAATATTGTTTGTCTATTTGTTCAGAGAATAAAATTATGCTTATGTTGACATATTGTTAGCTTATGTTGTATATTTGCAAAGAACTATTTTGATTTGCGTAACTGAGTATGATTGTGGCAAACATATGTGACCGAGAGCTGGCAAATACCAACAAAATAACGTTGTCGCAATGTTCTTCTGCGAAACCAGAGAACTTGAATGTAAGCAATCATTATTACGATATTTTTCGGCGAGAACAGTAAACTACAAAGTATGAAATTATAAGAATTGAACGTGAATTTGAAGTGGTTCATTGAGGTGTGAACGATTTAAAAGCAGTGGTTAAACCAGTGCTTTTAAATCATTGACACTTCAAGGAACCAATCCAAACAAGAGAGTATAAATCGTTTACACTTTAGTGAACCCATCCAAACTCACGTTCAACGCTTGGTGAAATATTTTGATAAATACACCAGTTTGTAAACCAACTGATATGTTGATAATGTAAAAGGGTTGCGAGTAAAGACTCCCCAAAACTGCAGGTTGTCAGAAGGCCTGTCTTCCTGGCAACAAACCCGAGTACTCTCCCAATGTCAGTCAACAGATTGGAGGCGCCAAACCTAAGGCACCGAGAACAATGGGGAGTCGGACAACTTGGTATTTGGGATGCAAGCATGACATTTCGAAAGCGGGGTCTGCATATTTGCCATGTATTTTCTGAATCTTGTCAATCACATAAGTGTCAAAAGGGACAGAAAATTCAATAAAATAAATGATTTCATTTGATCTGTGAAAAAGGTTTGTTTGCCTGGATAGGTCTGTGGCTGTGTACGGGCCTATGCCAAAGAATTTTGTATTTATCATTTTCGAAGATGCCCTCCACATATCTTGGGTCGTACCATGGATGGACCTTTGTGTCAAAACCACAAGCATGGTGAAGACGGTAATAAAATGATCGAGCTACTCCATCATGTTGCTTAAGATATTATTTACAGATTAAAATTTAAAAAATGCAGCAAAGAAGGTATGGGTGATCCTGCTCTACAACGCTGCAAACACAAACTCTGCAGTCAGTAACATGCAATAAAATCCTACACTCATCTGACCAATGAATCCGAAGCCAGGAACTTAAATTCCAACCCGCTCGTGCCCTGCACCACATGAGACGTTCATAAACATATCTGTCATTCAAAAATTGAGATATGAGTGATCTACGTCCACAATATCCCTTTCGCCCTAAGACGATTCCTAACCGTCATGACAGAAAGTCATCTTGGATATTCCACTGGTTCTTTAATGAACGGCACGGACAAAGGGGACACACCTTACAAGTCTCAGCAACGCTCGGTCCTCACGGTTAGACGATAATCTTGGTCTTCCGGACCTTGAACAGTCTTTGACGTCATTAGTTTGGGCATCTTTATGTACTAACCGAGTGAAAGCTACGATGATACCCTCGCTGTTTGACAATAGCTCTGCATGATATCACCATTGTTCATCCCGAGTAATTCCCCATCTTTCACCAGTTGACAGTCTGTGCCTCGCCATTCCTCATTTTCACATGAAAAATGTCGTGTCCTGTTAAAGATATAAACTGCGACAGACCGGGAGACAATTGTTGGTTTTTCAACTTGCGTGACCCCGGTGTTCCGTCAGCATACGGGACGCAGCACCGTGCACGTGAATTGGCGACTGATCAAATTAATCTATAGAATATTGCGTGTATTATCAGGTTAATCAGTTTTACGTTCTACTTTCAAACCAAACCTCTACACGCATCTAACTTTAATGGCGCTTAACCTGTTTCACTACTGATATGTCACACTGACAGAACATATTAAAAGACAGTTCGTTGATTGGAAGGAATCAAAGTTAGGCCATCATACTGAGCTTACCATGGGACTGTACGGTTCCTTAACACTCTTACCTCATCTGTATGATTGTTCAAAATAGCAGTAGCTATAAAAAATATTTGTTTGTTGTTAAACTCCTTCTAATCCATATTTGCCTCAATATTCTATTGTATGAAGACCGCCTGTAAATAATCGAAATTGCAACAATCTAGTGATTGATATTATTGGTCGGCCGGTTCTCGGACGGCCTGCAGTGGAACTGAACTGTGTGTATCGGTCACAAAGGCGGCAAATGGTGCTGTGGTGGACATCGAAGTGGCATGCAACAGAAGACTGCGATTCCCCTCTTTGGATACGTCCTATGGCGATGTTCCAATCGGCAGTGCTGAGTCTCGGCATTTTCGAGCTTGGAAAATGTTGACAATTGAATGACAAATTATTGCCTTATGCTTGCCTTTTTATAGCCACTACCACGAGTTACGAATGCCATAGCTTGCACGTGTATTTTGCTTTACTGTTTTCCTCCATGACATTTTTGAACAAGTGTGAAAACAATGCCGTTTAAGACATTGCAAATCGACAATGGCTGCGTTTTGACACACCGTTTGTCGAATATCAGGCCACCAACATTTTAAAATAGCATGTATCCCATTTATATACCGGATTTTTTGTGTAGTTAAGTTCAGTGAACTACATAATACCTGTGCGTTTCCTTTTTTGGAGAGTGCATGTACATTTATAACCACAATAAAAAATCGCTCTACATAACAAGATATTATAAAAACGGACTATAGATCACTAGCAACCATAGTTAGGACACCATTGGGACTGAGAGGACTTCCGATACGTCTGCTATGGTTCCCCTGCAGAATTTACACTATCACTCCAGCAGCTGGCCTTGGTGCGCAATTAAGCCATCAATTAAGAATCACTACGATTAAAACTGGTAGGAATAAACGTCCTTTGAATGATATGGTCTTACATGTTTTCTCAGGGGGACAATCCTTTTCCACTACTTCAGCCCCCTTTGAAGATACAGCCATGTTATATGTTAAACACTAACATTATTACAAAATTGAACTATCTAAAAAAAATTAAAATCTCTCAAAAAGTTTAATATCTTTCATTTGTTTTACATTAAATAAGAACTAAAAAGATAACTGATGAAGGCACTGAGTGACAATGAGCTGAATGTTCAACATACTAGTTGAATTTTGTTCCCAATATCTTCAAAATATCATGAAACTTTGTATATTGAACATTGGATGTGTAACATTTAAACGTATACTTGATGTCCTGAATTTCCAATACATATATAAACAGCAATTATAGCATGCCAAACATATTTACATTCACTTTGGCTTTTAAGTGACTGAGTGATGGTTATGTAAAACCAAAGCATCCGCTATTTGCCAGATAAACAACTATGATTACTTTCCAATGGCGCATTAAATCCTGCTTATGATCTTTCAGCGTCATAAACGTATTCATGCGTTTCTCCAAAAGTTCATCACATCAAACTGAACACATATTTAAACACTTTGAACACATACAGACACCTTTGAATATACCATCCATGTGTAATTGTGTTAGTTGTGCAAAGTTTTGGTTCTGTCCTGCCAAAACTATGTTTGTATTGGGTGCGCATAAACAAAACTAACACACGATGATGTGAACACACACTGACCAAAACAAGAAACGCATAACAGAATAATCAGTGTTTCACTACATGTTTAATGAAATAGGATTACACTATAAATAAGGAAGATACAACAACCCAATTTTACACAGTATGAGGCACGTGTTTCTTTCACCACAAACAGTCTTTTAATGTTCTAAGGGACGTCTGTGTCTGTGATGGCACTGTGCCAAAGTCAGTACCGGGTGTTACCACCACGAGGATCGATCACAGCTCTGCACCGCCTGGGCATGGACTGTATGAGTCGTTGAATCTGGCGTTGTGGAATCCTTCGCCACTCGTACACGTCTGTCCAACAGATCCCACAAATGTTCAATGGGGTTTAGATCAGGCGATTTGGAGGGCCATGGCAGCACAGTAACATTGTTGTGGGCAAGGTAATCCATGGTAACACGTGCAGTATGCGGTCTTGCGTTGTCTTGCTGGAAAATCTCTTCTGGCGTCAATTGCGGGAATAAGGTGACGTTGAAGGATTTCATTACGGTAGCGTACAGCAGTTGAATTTCCCTGCACGTGCGACAGATCTGTCCTACCATTCACGGATATGCCTGCCCACATCATGACACTTCCACCGCCGTATCGGTCGACTTCATGAATACAGTGTCGAGTGTAGCGTTCATTTCTCCGTCTGTAGACACGCATCCTACCATCATGGCGATACAGCATGAACCGCGACTCATCACTGAACCATATCCTTCTCCAGTGCACTAGGGTCCATGGTCGAACATTTCTGCTCCATTGCAGACGTGCACGACGATGATGTTGCGCAGAACGGGCGCTGTATATGGTCTCATTGGCCGTATCCCATGCTGTCTTTCTGATGCTTTGCGCTGAGACTCTACGAAGACCAGGAACATTGTAAGCTGGGTATGCTGCACTGATTGTCCGGTTGCGAAGATGCAACACCCGGATAAAGCGGTCCTGCGCTGCAGTTGTGACCCTGGGTCTTCAACTTCTCGGTCAATCTCTTGTAGAGTTGTGGACGAGAAATGATACTCTGCCTCACGTTAAAGTGCCTGGCTACTGATGTCTGACTTTCTCCAGCTTCCAGACGTCCAAGGGCTCTGTTTCTACAGTCTTCATTTAGTCTTGGCATCATGAGAGCCTGGTATCCAGAACATCGGAGAGTGATTCGCAGCAGGACTGCCAAATTTTTATACCCATCGGTTTTAAGGTTAAGTAGCCGTATTTGCACGTGCAGCATGCTTACAGCTTTTTCTCCATGCAATTTCTCCCAGTTTGGTTTCAAGATGCTGTATCTTGGAGACAAGTCACCAAATGTTGTGTTCGGGTGCAATAAATAAGTGTAAGGTCAATTTTCACAGTTAGCAATGACATTTATATTTAGTTCAAGCCTTCATCTTCAATAACAGTCAAGTTTGAAAAACAGATATCAGCCATGCGGTTTTTTTTGTGGCCAGTATATGTTTAACTTTTTTAATATTTGTTCCATGAATGTCAAGATTGTCCGGGTACATGCTGACAAGTTTTCGGCCTACTGTAAACTAACAGAAACAAAGATATAATCTATGTGATGTCCTGGCATGTACACTACTTATTTCTATCAGTAGATCATTTCAGACCTATCACTAAGCATACAGATCTCGATGGCAGGTTTGTAGAGAATTCTACCATGCCGAATTCTAAATGGTTAAAATCAGGTGTCTAATTCCATTCGATACGTCGATATGAACTTGTCTTTTCACATAAAATCCTTATATATAAAGACATCTATCGATAGCCTACGCGTCGACAAAGGCTGCCGATAACACATCTGAATTGTATGCGTCTGAGATCAGAACAACAGTTAATCAAACATGATGAAATCTATTTTAGAACACACACATAATTAATCTTCAAAAATAAGAAGTCTCTGAACCTACTCGTGTCATACAATGTCGAGTCGTCAGCCTAAAACAGCGGTATTCAGTCATATTTCAGGAAGTTTGCTTATGTACCCACAGAGCATCAGTATTGAACAACTGTATTTAAGAAATAAACGAAGAATAACTTGTTCTTCGCACAATAAAACACTGCAGGGAGAATAAACGATAAACAACGACCACGAGTCCTTTATTTCTTACATGAGAAATCAACATTATGTACAGCCTCTTTAAGGATAATGATAAAAAGTACAAACTTTAATAATATTTACCCGCATTTAAATAATAAAGGCTTCCTCAACAGAATCCGACCTCCGCCCAGCCTGGTTCCCTGGGTATGCTGCTCTGGCGCTACACTGACCCAGGCAATGACTGCACAATGGCCGCCTCCACTACACGAACAAACATGGCGGACACGACATGTCTTTAATAGAGAAAAATGTTAGAGCAGATGGTTATAATTTTTTCTTAGCATTTTCATGAATGCTCTTGCAATGTATACGTCACGAGAAGAACGTCCATTGTTACTTTTAGTGAAGGAAAACATTATTTAAGCTGTTTCGAGACTCGAAAGTGGTCATCACATCAGTGGAATGTAAACAACGACACACACCCCATTTCAACAATGATATTTTAGACCTGTTCACGAATGTACCGCGGGACGAGGCCATGAAAATCATCGGAATCCGCGTTGGGGAAATCCTCCCATCCCTAGACACCCGCCTAACAACTGACAGCATCATCCGACTCATACACTGCTGTATCAGCTCAACATGCTTTACCTGGAGAGATAACTTCTATCAACAAACCCACGGCCTCCCAATGGGATCCCCACTATCACCCTTGATCACCGAGATATTTATGACCCACCTTGAAGAAAAAGCCCTGGAAAAACATCCCAAATAACTCCCCTCTGCTGGTTCTGCAAAGTTGATGACACCGTTGTAATCCTACATCCCAACAATGACCCCAGGACGCTATTGGACCACCTGAATTCCCAAAACCCACGAATGCAGTTCACCATGGAGGAAGAAACCAATCGACAGCTCCCCTTCCTTGATGTACTCATACAGAAAGATAATAACGACAAACTCCAGACCACTCTTTATCGGAAACCTACCCACACGGATCAATTCATACACTATGCCTCCAACCATCCACCTCAAGTCAAGAAAGGAATTGTTTCAACCCTAGCAAGCTCACAACATCTGTTCCACGAAGCAACATCTAACTAATGAACTAAGCCATCTCAAACAAGAAGCATTTACACAGTATAACCCCTATCCTGAGCAACTAGTACAACAGACGATAAAGAACATCACCAAGAAATATCAGAAATCCCCACGTCAACAGTCTGCACCGATTGTGATCAGCCATCAACTCATGGCGTACCATCAACTCATCAAAGACCCCAATCAGCCATAATCCCGTTGTTTATATTACTGGCTTTATCCTTTGTTTATGTCACTGACGTCACCAATGTTTGTCATCACTACCCTTGTGTGTACATAACAGGCTTCTCTACTCCAGTATAACAATATCTACTGTACTGTATAAACTATATGCCTACTACTTGTATATATACTTGCCAACCACACTCTGTATATCACTTGCTTGATAACGGTGTTAGAACCTACACCGAAACGTCGCTCTTAATAGTAATAAAGAAGTTGTTCATCCATAAATTCTTATCCTTACTTATTTGGCATTTGTTTTCTTATTACACAATGAAATTAATCATAAATAGATCAAATACTTTTGGAAAAATAATTCATTAATTCCAATGTAGTGTTTTTAACTATGTGTGTGCTTGTAAAATGTCGGATCTGAATGGCATAATAATAAAGAATATGTTAATTATTTTGAATTAATTTGGTAAAGTGGCATACACATCCATGTGTATTCTCTTTTTCACAGGATGAAATAAATAAAAATGTAACAGTAGTCATGGTGTGGCAATTAATCAACTGAAGACACTTCACTGTGAGGTTGTAGAATACTTATTATCAATTACACCATTGGCAGGTTTTCCTTTGATATGGAAAATCACTATGCCATGAAATTCAACTAGATATCATGCTATCATTGGGGGTGGGGGTGGTCACCAAGTTATAATTATACATATTATCTATGATCAAAATTCAAATAATGCAATCCAAGGAACACACATGAAAGTAACAAATAACCATAACTTAATAGCCAATTTAAAATAGTTGTTATTTAAGATGATTCTACTGACCAATCTACATCAACTCCAAAGGGTTTTCGACATTCAGACATCTGAGAAAATTCCATCTTTTCTAAAAACATGCAAAGCTGATGAACACGATGTCCTGTCTAAAAGAAAAAACAAAAATTAACATAATCAGTTTTTGAACTTGTTAGTATGTAAATTACAATGAAAAATTGGTCAACAAGTTCACTGATTTTGTGTTGATCCAGGTCTAACATGCAAATCAATATCTTTGACTTGACTTGACTCCCGAAAGCGCTTTCGTAAATAATCGAATACAATCAAGCAAATAGAAAAACAACAACATTTTCTTCACGAAAAGGGACAGATAATAAGAATACACGCTTCATACTTCATAGCTTTTAGTGCCTCGAACGCCAGAACACAGAAATTTGTCATCGATAACAAATCCTTGTTACATTTGTAACCATTGTCTTTAAAATGTGAATTGGAAGATCATGAAAACCAACAGTAAATGATGTCTGTATACATCATTGCCTCAAGGCGATTTCAGGTAGAAATCTGTCCAATGTACCCATAGCAACGCTTTTACAAAGATCGAATCAGTTGTTCATTTAAGTTTTAATCTATATTTAGTGAGCACGTCAATTATGCAAGAATGTAGAATAAGTTGAATTAGTACAATTTGATTAAGATACCTTTATTTGATCTTTAACTAACTTGTTAAGAGTTTTTGACGCTATGAATTGCTTCTCTTCGAACAAAGGCTATCCAAACCGACACTGGTGGTAAACAAGGTTTGACAAGCATTTTCCTAAAATATTGATTTTCGTGTATGTGTCACTACTGGTAACGATAGGTGCAGTACTTGATTTGCAATTATAGCGAGCATCTACACAAATATTAGCCCATGTCATTGTTATTCTTAATGGAAGATGCGCTCTTAATGAACATGTAAATTTACTTTTCATTTATGCATGGAAGATCCATATCCAAAACTTCACTCCGAGTATTAGGCCACGGAAAGTTAAAGAAATGTTTCTCATTGCCGTCCGTGTAATTTGTACAAAGAAATGCGGAAATAAAGTGACAAAACTCTTTTCAATATCCAACAGAAATATCTGCATAAAACCAGAGTCGATAGTACGATTCGAACTATATCATGACCAAGTATGAATGACTATCAAATAGTGAAGATACCAGGTGTTCACGAAAAGGTGAGCGTATCCTGACCCGCCGGTCGAACCGGTCACAAACCCATACAAAACATAAATGTGAACGATCTTCTTTTCAGTTAATGTCCTGACCTCTGTGTTACATAAGCGCAAATACAAAGAAAATGTAAAGACCAGTAACATTCATTACATAAAAGACAACCAGCATTTTCTACAAAGTGTTTACAATAATTTACATACCGATATCCTGAAAATACTTTAAGGCACAAATCTAATATGATGGGGTTGATTAGAGACTGTAATTTAGTACAAAACACATCATATTTCTCTCTCTAATGTCTCTAAGCTGGGCAGTGTCCAATAATGCACCCCCCTCCCTTATGTAAAAATAGTCGCCCATAAAGTATTAATAAATGCCTCGTGGCGAATTCTTTTTAGTGATGAAAAACATTTTATTTTTTCATGGCCTCACAAAATTAGACTTAAGAGACTGACGCTGAAGACGTATCTCACATCAATGACAGAACGCCGTGTGCGTTTCCTTCAGAGCTGCAAAAATGTCTAGCTCTGTGATGTCCTGGTATATATACACTCTACTTTCCTTCACTTTTATCAGTAGACCCTTCCAGACAGCACCAATCGTGAAACGTAAATTTCTTTTTCGACTTGCGGATTTTGATGGCAGACTTGTACAGAACTGGACGGATATTCGTACTTCATCAAGTGTGTGGGAATGTGCTGGTATTTGCGCTGCAGATAGCAACTGTATGTCAGTATGCTTTAAGCCCAGGTCACAAGAGTGCGTCATCTACGAGAGGATGGTTTCATCCACTGATAAATTCACCCTATTCCCTTTTGCAACTGTGTTTGGTAAGTTAGCTGTACTTATATCTATATCTACTGTTCACAATAACGAAGGAGTATTTGGCTTTAGTCACATTGCAGGGTAAGCAAGTTTGACTAAAGTAATTCAAATCCCAATTTGTCCTCTCGTCTTCTCAACTCTCACGATGTCTCTTTAGATAGTCGTTAACAAAAGAAAGGTCAGTATTATCACATTATTGGAGCTTATCGATTTATAAGAAGAGACGTGACTAGCCTATATCATAAGTTTTCTTCTATGTTGAAACTATTTAACATACCAGTGTTTGGACGGGCATACCACTGACTAAGCTAAACAAGGGCGCGTTCGGAGATCGAAAAAACTGGCATATTACACGAAGAATCGAACACTATCAATCATGAAAGCAACGAGGTAACTGCAAAGAGAATTGACGTTAACTTACTCGAAGTTCGGCCCTTGTGCAAATAGGAATTCAACCTGATATAGCATAGGATGTTACAGAGGAATCATAGCTCTCTTATTGAGATACTGACCATTTCGAGTGCAATAATCTAATTTCTGTATTTGTGGATTAGGTAACTCTAAATGAAATTATGGATTTAATAATTTACTAGTAATAAGATACAATTTTGTACAATTTCAGCTCTCTGCCCAAGAGGATACAGTGTTATGGGAAGACGATGCATCAAGGTTGTCACTGAGAAGATGGACAGGGACTCTGCCAGAGCACACTGTAGAGATGACGGTGCAGATTTGATTAACCTTGGGAGTCAGGCGAGGATTGATGAATTTCGGTACTTCATGGAGGCGAATGGTAAACAAACAATTAGTGCACATTCGAAAGTTATTTAAATTTTACTTAAGTACATGAGTTTGAATACACTTATTAGTAGATTATAGAGTGATATGCCAAAGATTGCAATATTAGAGCTACAGCGAATACCCGATAGCCCTGATCACCGTATTTCTGAAACCCAGTTATCTTGATGTTTATATCTGTAAACATCTCAAAATATGAAGGGATATTACTGCATACCAAAGAAAAGTTATTCCGGAAATGAAGTAATCGAAACAATTTTACTTGAAAAAGTATTCTCCGCATTAAACAAGGTTTCAGTGTAAATTAAACTGGCCTGACAATTAAGTAACCGCGTCTGGATCAAACAAAGCAATGGTTGATAACAAAAGCATCAAGCAATGCCGTCGGGATACTATAATGACACACAATCGACCACTGTGATCATACTTCCCAATCCTCACCATAGTCACCAAGTCTTTTTTTCTAATACAGGGGAAGGTTGGGTATATTACAGTTACAATATTACAGTTGTAATAAAAGCTACAAAAATATTTCCATAATCATATGAAATCTCTACTAAAAACAGATTCCGACTATATCATCCGCAGGTATTCATGAATCATTATCAAAACATGATGATGCTTGGTGTTCTCGAAAAGGTACCACCGGTGGCACCCGTCCTGAACACATGCAAGGGCAAGGCAATTGTTCATGTGAAACAAACAATTGATCTTTGATTTCTACATTTCACAACCTTTAAGATAGAATCAACCATGGTATATCTATTTAAGATTCCAAAGAGATTCATACAACACTTGCTTTCAAGTTGTTTGATGAGGGTTAAAACATTCAAGGCCTCAGTACATCATTCATGACGTTTTATGGCAACCATGTGGAGGATAAATATAAGTGACAAAAATGACGTCCGATACAATTCCGTATTTTATCTAGTGCCATATGTTGCGGTGTTTTTTCAGGCAAACCATTGACCTGCCTTTACATGTTTTTGTGACGGGTGCCATGAACGGGTCAGAACACTTTCATCCTTTTTCGCGAGCATCTAGCATAGTCATAGTCATTCATGAAACATGCTTATAATTATTATCATATGATTTTGAGAATAGTTTTGAAGCTTTTATCTAGGAGGGAACGTTTGTTTTGAGCAATAGTTTACATGGTTTTCACAGACTATTTATTCGTCAGACTCTTGCTTATTTCGGAGGGGTGTGGGTGTGGGTGTGGATGTGGGTGTGGATGTAGGTGTGGGTGTGGATGTGGGTATGCGTTTGGGTGTGGGTGAGGGTGTGGGTGTGGGTGTGGGTGTGGATGTGGGTATGCGTGTGGGTGTGGGTGAGGGTGTGGTTGTGGGTATGCGCGTGGGTGTGGATGAGGGTGTGGTTTTGGGTGTGGGTGAGGGTGTGGGTGAGGGTGTGGGTGTGGGTGTAAGTGAGGTTGTGGGTGTGGGTCTGGTGGGTGTGGGTGTGGGTGTGGGTGTGGGTGAGGGCGTGGGTGTTGGTGTGGGTGTGGGTTTGGGTGTCATTACTTCCCTTGTGTTTTTGTTGGTAGTATATGAAATATTAAAAGGGATGTTGAACCCAACTCACTCTCTTTCCTTAAAACCATACCATACTGTTTTTCACAATATTTATGACTAAACAATTACTTAAGAACTCCTACTGACGTTGGTCATTCCAGGAGATGAACCTGACAATAGCTTCTACTGGTGTGGAGCGTCACATGTCAATGGCCGGTGGCAGTGGATCAATGGAATGACATTCTCATCCAACTCAGATCTCTGGTGCCCCCATGAACCAAGTGATCCCTCTGAGGAGTGCACGGCCACAAAAGCCCCAGAGTTCATCTGCCTGTATGACCTTCACTGTTACACAGACCAAAAGTTTGTGTGCGAGATTCAGTTCTGACTTCTATCACGTTTTGTCGAGAACAACGTACTGATCAAATGACGCATAAATATGTTACAGACATTGCATGACAATCAGAAGGTTCTGACTGAAAACCTTAAGTCTTATACTTTAGCCTTTAGGTAAACATATGTACCAGAATTATGAATTATGTTGCCTTATCAGTCAAACCCGAATGTCGTTAGCCTAAAAAAATTCTCAACAGAAATAATATACTAGAATAGCGAATACAGAAATTTGTTGTAACTGTCGTACAATGAAATGCTGGTAATTTGATATGTCCAGCTTAAATTATTCGGAATAATGATGTTTTAGTTTTTAGATCAGTCAAAAGGTAAATGACACAGATAATCAAACTTCATGAATAGTTGAAGTTCGAGTTTGCTATGTATTTGACACTTTATACTAATCATTTCTCACTCGATGTGGTGTAATTTAGCTATGGTGTTTGACATCCTCGAATTGAAAATTATTTTCTCACAAAGAATTGTGTGCCATTCAATAAAGTGAAACAATACACGATACACGATATCTTGTAAACTAAGTCTGAGAATTGAGAAAGTGTTTTTTTCTTCTGTAGTGTTTATTTACACAGAGCATATGACCACATCTTCAAACGATGCGTCATACAATCACATACGCATCATATAGTGACAAAATAGTTGACACGATATTTAGAGCTTGAAACACATATTTGGCAAAGCAGTTAATAACATATTTAGTACTTGATAACATTAATTGCACTACGACTCTAGGATTGCCGATGATGAGAACAACCATGAGGAATTCATTTATACCAGCTAGTACCAGATTGTGGAATAAGATTTGTGATGCATATTTGTTGAGCATTTGTTCGCTGGTGCCATATTGGTATCTACAAGCTCAGACCTTGTGCTGATGTAACTCAAATTTCCTTTGGGATAATGAAGTATTATCTTATCACTACATGGACACTATACATATCACTTTCTGTGCAAATAATAAGTATAACTTTATTTTGCGCTATGGTATTTCAAGACAACAGCACCATACGTCATCAGAATGCAAAAAGACTCGATATGGAAAAATATTTTCATACTTTAAAGTTTACTCTGTTTCTTTTATGCCGATTGGCTGAATGGATAGTCACGTGAGTTTACACACCTGTGAACGGATAGAGAAGGTACATGAAGGTTGACCTCGCCTCAGTGCATCGAGTCATGCTTATATTTTTGTTCGTGGTCTGTTACCTATGTTTTAGATTTGATTAATCCCAAATATTGTTTGTCAATTTGTTCAGAGAATAAAATTACGTTGATGTTGACATATGTATAGCTTATGTTGTATATTTGCAAAGAACTATTTTGCTTTGCGTAACTGAATATGAGTGTGGGAAACATATGTGACCGAGAGCTGGCAAATACCGACAAATTAACATTGTTGCAATGTTCTTCCGCGAAACCAGAGAATTTGAAAGTAAGCAATCATAATGTCGATATTTTTCGGGGAGACCAGTAAACTACAAAGTATAAAATTATAAGAATTAAACGTCAGTTTGAATGGGTTCATTGAGGTGTGAACGATTTAAAAGAAGTGGTTAAACTAGTGCTTTTAAATCATTGACACTTCATTGAACCAATCCAAACAAGTCCTTTTAAATCGTTTGCACTTCAGTGAACCCATCCAAACTGACGTTCAATGCTTGGTGAAATATTTTGATAAATACACCAGTTTGTAAACCAACTGATATATCTGGGGTCATACCATGGATGTACCTTTCTGTCAAAACCACAAGCATGGCGAAGACGGTAAAAAAAATGATCGAGCTACTCCATCATGTCGCTTAAAATATTATTTACAGATTAAAATTTAAAAAATGCAGCAAAGAGTGTATGGGTGATCCTGGCACTATCAGGCTGGTTAGGCTCATCACCAGCTCAGGGCCCTTGCCCTCTCTTCACTGCCTATCATGTTTTGTGTATTCCTACGTCTTTTAATAGTTCCATATCAGTTTTATATTCATATCTGTGATATCCTAGTTTGTTTTACTGTCCTTTGTTGACAGGTTTTTATATTGTCAAAATGTCTTTATTTTTATGTATAAATTGATCTAGTCACTGTATGGCTGAAATATTGCCGATGTGACTATAAATCTTAACTCACTCACTCACACAAACACGAACTCTGCAATCAGTAACATGCAATAAAATCCTACACTCATGTGACCAATGCATCCGACGCCAGGAACTTACATTCCGACATGCTCGTGCCCTGCACCACATCAGACGTTCATAGATATGTCTGTCCTTCAAAAATGGACATTTGACTGGTCGACGTCCTCGAAATCCCTTCGCCTTGAAACGATTCCTAACCGTCATGACTGAAATTCATCTTGGGTATTCCACTGGTTCCTTAATGCAGGGGCACGGGCAAAGGGGACACACCTCAGTCTCACCAACGCTCGGTCCTCACGGTAAGACGATACTCTTGGTCTTCCGGACATTAAACGGTCTATGACGTCATTAGTTTGGGAGTCTTTATGTACTAACCGAGTGAAAGCTACGATGATACCCTCGCTGTTTGACAATAGCTCTGCATGACATCACTATTGTTTATTCCGAGTAATTCCCCATCTTTCACCAGTTGACAGTCTGCGCCTCGCCATTCCTCATTTTCACATGAAAAATGTCGTGTCCTGTTAAGGATATAAGCTGCGACAAACCGGGAGACAATTGTTGGTTCTTCAACTTGTATGACCCCGTTGTTCCGTCAGCATACGGAACACAAGCACCGTGCCCGTAAATTGGCGACTGATCAAATAAATCTATAGAATATTGCTTGTATCATCAGGTTAATCAGTTTTACATTCTACTTTCAAACCAAACCTCTACACGCATCTAACTTTACTGGCACCTAACCTGTGTCACTACCGATATGTTACACTGAAAAAACATATTAATAGACAGATCGTTGATTGCTAGCAATCACAGTTGGCCGTCATACTGAGCTACAGGTTTTAATCTGATATTTCAAGAAATATTCCGTGATTAAAATAGTAGTAGCTATAAAAGAAAATGTGTTTGTTGTTAAACTCCTTCTACTCCATATTTGCCTCAATATTCTATTGTATGAAGACCGCCTGTAAATGATCGAAATTGCAATAATATAGTTATTGATATTATTGGTCAGCCGGTTCTCGGACGGTCTACAGTGGAACTGAACTGTGTGTATCGGTCACAAAGGCGGCAAATGGTGCTGTGGTGGACATCGAAGTGGCATGCAACAGAAGACTGCGATTCCCCTCTTTGCATACGTCCTATGGCGATGTTCTGATCGGCAGCCCTGAGTCTCGGCATTTTCGAGCTTGGAAAATGTTGACAATTGAATGACAAATTATTGCCTTATGCTTGCCTTTTTATAGCCACTACCACGAGTTACGAATGCCATAACTTGCACGTGTATTTTGCTTTACTGTTTTCCTCCATGACATTTTTGAACAAGTGTGAAAACAATGCCGTTTAAGACATTGCAAATCGACAATGGCTGCGTTTTGACGCACCGTTTGTCGAATATCAGGCCACCAATATTTTTCAATAACATATATCCAATTCATATAACGGATTTTTTGTGAAGTCAAGTTCAGTGAACTTCATAATACCTGTGCGTTTCCTTTTTTGGAGAGTGTATGTATATTTATAAGCACCATAAAAAAATCGCTCTACATAACAAGACATTATAAAAACGGACTATAGATCACTAGCAACCATAGTTAGGACACCATTGGGACTGAGGGGACTTCCGATACGTTTGCTAGGTGCACGGTTCCCCTGCAGAATTTCCACCATCCCTCCAGCAGCTGGCCTTGGTGCGCAATTTAGCCATCAATTTAGAATCATTACGATTAAAACTGTTGGGAATAAACGTCCTTTGAATGATATGGTCTTACATGTTTCCTCAGGGGGGGGGGGGACAATCATTTTCCACTACTTCAGCCACCTTTAAAATATACATCCACTAACAATCTAAGTTACATATTAAACACTAACATTATCAGAAAATTTAACTATCTAATAAAACCTAAAATCTCTCAAAAAGTTTAATATATTTCATTTGTTTTACATTAAATAAGAACTAATGTTATTAAAAAGATAACTGATGAAGGCACTGAGTGACAATGAGCTAAATGTTCAACATACTAGTTGAATTTTGTTCACAATATCTTGAAACTTTGTATATTGAACATTGGAAGTGTTATATTTAAGGGTATACTTGATATCCTTATTTTCCAATTTCCAAAACAAAGGCTGTCGATAAATCACTAGAATTGTATGCGATTGAGATCAGAACAACAGTTAATTAAACATGATGAAATGTTTTTTAGAACACACACAATTAATCAAAACACACACTAACCACTGTGTCAGTACCACACAATCATCGGTCCAAAAATAAGAAGTCTGTGAACCACTCGTGTCGTACAATGTCGATTCGTCAGCCTAAAACAGCGGTATTCAGTCATACTTCAGGAAGTGTGCTTTGTTTTAGTGAACTGGTGTTTTGAGTGGTTCGAGTCAACAGTATCAATAACAACATTTCTTTTAAAGTCGTACCTATAATCCTTTTAGAAACCCCAAATATCAGGACATTTCTCTTGGAAGCATTAATGTCCCACTGCAGTGTAAACAATATCTAGAATATGGAATATGCGGGGTTCACTCAGTACATAGTGATGACACTCAACACCATAACCGATCACCGGTCAAATCTGTCATTAGGTCTCAGGTTGACATTAACCTGACGTTCATTTCGACGTCGCCAGACACGTCCACGCCCATCGAGGTTTTGCAAAGCAAATTGGGACTCAACTGAAAACATGACACGTGGCCAGCGACGATTATCCCAGTTTAGACGTTGTGTACACTATTGACGAATGTCGCCAATATGGTTATTTGTAAGGGGTGGCACGACACGTGGCTGATGACACTGGAGATGAGCTGCGTGAAAAAGTACTGCCAACAGCTTCAGTAGCAGAGCCATTCGCGATGTCATTTGATTGTGACGACAATGGTCTGCAAAGCATTGTGATGCAATTTCTCACCCAAGCGATATCGCCTGTGGGAGCCAGTTTTGGATAATAAATATCCCTCAGTATTATCCACGTGGTGAAGATACAGGTGGTAAGATATTAAATTCGTACGTCATACTGTTTTATTAGTTTTGATTGGATAACCGTGACCTCTGTCACACCGGGACTACATTATTCAATCCAAAATCGCGAGACGTCATTCATTTTGCAACTACAAGGCAAAACTGAAGCAAGCGAGAGATATTTACCAACACTTTATTAAACCAAAGAAGATAGTCACACGAATCAAATTCGGTTTGCACTCTCTATAGGTTCTAAATAGAGCTTCTACAGACATCATATAATCGAGCGAATTCCATTTACAATTTAGACTACCGATCAATATATCGTGGGTCCCCATGAACGTGACGCACCCGACCGCTTTCGCAAATTTCAATTTGATTTAACGTAAATGGATAAGCACAGTGAAATTAAGTCAGTTTAAACAATCTGGACAGACATTTAGACTTACCTGGGACGATCCGGTTGTGCCATCAGCGTCCCCTTCGAAGCGTATTTTGTGGCATTGTTTCGGGAGTTGTTTGTTCACGACTACACTACCAGATCACTCAAAGTGAAAATTTCAGATACAAATCATTTGAAAACTCCGTAGAAGTGTGCCTGACTTCTGATTATGTGGCCCAAAATATCCCAAATGTGAGCAATAACATTCCCCATCTCTAGTGTAAAACGCTGCGAGTAGATCACGATTGTCTTTTCTTATTCTGGTGGTGACCTTGCCCTTCGTTCGAAGCTCTCACTGACATGCAAGCAGACTTGAGTTTGTTGATTTCAACGTATTCAGTATAGGGTGGTACAGTTAACATGAATGTCTTTGGCGAAAATTCTGATTTCCCTCTTCCAAAATGGTACAGACATAATATTATTTCAGATGATAGATCAAGTAAACCGAACCATTTTGATTGCACAGCCGGGACACAGGCAGTGTGAGTGACCGACTCTTGGTCCGATATTCAAAGCGCGGTGCTAATGTGACCTTTCAAATTTTCTTATAGGTATCCTGCGTACTCACAACATGGCGCTTGAATTACCATAAGTTGAAGAAATTCTTCCAAAAGGATATTGAGCGTCGGTGCTGTTATGTTTCAAACACAACTGCAGGCGCATGTTGTTAATGCGTATGCATAAACATGTCAACATCTTGAAACATCTAAGCCCACCTACCTG